CCGTGGCAGCCGCCACCGCCTCCCACCACAGCTCCACCTCCGGAGAGGGAAGGGAGGTTGAGAACTTGCTCAGCCCCAGGCAGAGGTTTAGGAGCGGCCAGAAAACGGTACCTTGACCCTTCGTAAAACTCTATGGACAGGCTGACGATCTCATCGTCTGTCAGGTTCCCCTTGTCCTGCTCGGAGACTTCCCCACGATCTTCATTGGAGCCGTTGGGAACTGCAGGAGCAGAGGGAGGGAGAGGCTGAGGTGTCGGGGGGGTGCCGGGGCGAGGGGGGGTCCCCAGGGCTCACACTCACCCTCTGCCACGGGGTAGGCTGCGTAGAAGTCACGTCGCCTCTTCATCTCATCTGCGGGAGGAGGGAGGAGGAACGTGAGGAGGAAAAAACCCTCACACCGCGGTGGAGATGGACACAAGGAGGAGAGCGAGAGGAAGCCTCGGGCGCGTGGGGGCAACATGAAATCTTGGGGGAGCGGATTCCCCGGCAGGGGGGAGCGAGTTACAAACCCTCCACAATTATAACTGCCCCTGGCCGTACCTTTGAAAAGCCCCGGGACCAGTTTGTACACGATGTCCTGCAGGGTTTTGTCCGACCTGAGTGGGGAAAAAAAGAAATAGGTAAAAAAGAGAGAGGAATCAGACGGATTAGGGAGCAGCTTGCTGCCCTGAGAGCACGGCTTCACCCATCTCCCTCCCGGGAAAAAGCACAAAGCCTCAATTTCCCCCCCCAGGGTGACATTTTTTTTTCCCACAGGCAAACCCGTCCGCCCTCGCACTTGCCGCAAAGGGTTAACTCTGGGAAAAGAAAGAAAACCATTTCAAAAATCCTCATAATCGCTGGGGATGATGACAGCGGGATTTTGGGGCCAGGATCTGTCGCAGTAGTCGAAACGATTACCCAAACACACCGAGGGCTTAGAAAAATAACCCCAAATCTAAGACGGGCAAATGTTTCTGCAAGTTTTAATTTGCATCTAATTTTATTTTGGGACTTGGCTGCCGTTCAGGGCTCAGGCTTTGATTTCCCTCTGTTGGAAGGATGGCAGGAAAGCAAAGGGGGCTCCCTAAAACAGGAACCCCTCGAGGTAGGAGCTTCGAAAGCACTCGAGGAACTGGGGAAGCTCAAGTCCCATCCTGGGACCAGGACTGAGATTTTGCTTGGGCTCAGGACCCTGCAGGCAGGGCATCTGGCACAATTTAAAACCAGCAGCTCGGCTGAATAGTACAACAAAAAAAATAATAATCTCAAAAAAACAAAGCGAGAGCAGTGGGACCGGTGAAAGGTAAATTATATCTGCAATTATTTCCACTTTAATAATGAGGCTTTTATTTTAAAGAAAAACAAATGACCGTACCCTATATTATTTTTAGCCCAGCCATGTCTTTCAACCCTAACTCCTCCGTGATGTCACCTCGGTTCACGAGGCCCCTCTGTGATTTTATTTATAATACGTACCCAGAGAATTTGCTTTCTAATTTACAGCAAGCTAATGAAAAAGCAACCTCAGCCGCTTGAGCGGCAGCTTAATCACCAGCTCTCGCTTGAGTCAACCCCATCCAGCCCAGCGGCGGCGCTGGGTGGGGGCCAGGGGTGCACCCTCAGCATCGCGCCCGGTTTCGGCGCTGCCCTGGCACCGGTTTGGGAAGAGGAGAGGGGAAAAAGAAAAATCCAAGCCCCCCTCATCGGCGCGGAGGGACGCCAGGTGTGGATCGGGCCCCACGTTTCTCCCCGCGGACGCGAAGGCGCCGTGTGACGCAGGAGTATTTCGGCGTGGGAGACGGAGCGTAAATATTTTCATAGTGAACCAGGGGGAAAAAAAAAAGAAAGTGTTACTACAGAAACGGATTTATATGGAAGAGGCTAAAAAAAAAGGGATAAAAAAAAAGCGGCGAGTGATGTATTGCAGCCTTTCACGGTTTCTATGCCAACCACCTGCAGAGCCAACTCCACAGCTGATGGGACGTGTCTGGCTTTCCCCAGCCGGGCCAGAGAAGCCATCGCTGTCACCTGCGCTGCCGTGAGCCCACCTGGGGAACCCAGGGACACAGCCCCCTCCCCACGGGGGAAAGAGCAGGGAGTTAGAAAGCCCAGGCAGACCCAGCGGGGACAGGGACGGACGGACACCCGTGGTCTGGGCTGCGCAGGGCTGGGCACGGTCCCTCCTGCAGCACGAGAGAGACCCTCTTGAAAAATAAAGTTACATCTCTCAAGCCTGGACTTTCAACGTTTTAAGCCAAAATGGGATCATTTCTTTAGCAGAAGGTTTAAAAGCAACACTGGCTGCACCATCGCGAACCAGGCTGGCCGCAGAGCCCCGCTCCCCACCTCGGGGTGCTCAGGGCTGAGCCCCCCAGAGCGGGCACGGGCTGCACCGACACACGGAGCTGCACGGAGCCCCCGGAGCTCACCTGATGCTGAGGAGGGGTCTGGTTTTGTGCACTTGGACATCACACATGGGGCAGTACTTGTTGGTCTCCAGGTAGCGAACGATGCAGGTTTTGCAGACTGCAGGGAGAGAGGCTCCGCGGGAGGGGGGCGGGGGGGGGCGGGGGG